ATAGATAGATAGATAGATAGATAGACAGACAGACATATAGACAGATAGATAGACAGACATATAGACAGACAGACAGACAGATATATAGACAGATAGATGATAGACAGACAGACAGACAGACAGACAGACAGACAGATAGATAGATAGATAGATAGATAGATAGATAGATAGATAGATAGGTAAAAATAGCTACATTTGTTGCTAGGTGCTTTTTGAAAAACAAAACAAAACAAAAAGTTCCTAGGGTTGACTGAAAAGTTGCTAAATCTAGCAACACAATTGCTAAATTGGCAATACTGTAAATCGAATCAACATTTTCTGAAGGCTGATTTTCACCAAACGATGGAGCCATGAAGTCTTCTCATCATTCCTCTGCTTGAGTCACATTTATCATTTGTAAGTCTATTTCAATCAATCTCATTTACAAACATGGACATCAGATGCATAAAACACAGGCTACAGTGTTCAGTAGGAGCTGCATTCAGCTGTAACAAACTCCTTTAGTTTGTAAACGTCTTCAATTACAACACACCCAGAGTTATGAAAACTGTAAGTGATAATGGCCTCACAATTTTTACTTTGGGGTGTGTCGCAACTAGGTTTCGCTCATTACTGATTGCACATTATATTCATTGTGCCTTGCATGCATGTGGCAGCCTAATCCAAGCACTGTATTGATTCATAATTTATGTGTAGTCTATATGCACATCCCATTCACATCTAGTTTGAACCAACTGCTCATTTATGTCATTGTTGTTATTACCGTTTTCACATTTTACTGTAATAGTTAAGTCATCCGAATTGTGAATCAACCAAAAAATATCTGATTTCTTCTTTAAAAAAAAAAAAAGCATAAATGAAAATATTTAGTCTACACAGTTTAAACAGACAAGCCTTTGGATGATTTGTATGGCTATTTTTAGTTGTATGTGGTAATTAAACATGTAATGAGATTTGGAGTCCAGATTTTATGGCTCTGTTCGGTTGGATTGAGAATTGAGGAGCTCGTTCTCTGCAAATGGCTTAGTTTATGTTTTGTTTGCTAATTAATT